GAGTTATTAATAGACTGACAAGGTTGCCGATGTTACCGTGATTTCTATTTCTCGGGTTTCTTTACTGAGTTTATTATGAGTAAGATGGTTGTAATAACATCAAGGATTAGGGCAGCCATACACAGGCCAAACGCCCACCCAGGATTTATCGTTTCCTTGGACAAACTGGAACTGAATAATTTTCTTGCCCAATTGGCTGCAAGAGACCCTTCTTTGACTAAACCAAAATTCATTTTTGGAGAAGATGGCCTTCTGGTATTATTTTGATGATAACCGTAAATTGCGATGGCAACCAACACTGCCACACCTAAAAAATAATATCAATCTGTAAGTGAGAAATTGACTACCTCATAACAATAGTGATCAAACTACAGACTGTATGGTGAATTTTTCAGATTTGGGAAAAGGGGCTCATGTGCCAAATTTACCTGTTTCACAGTGCTCTCTCTTAAACATAAAAAAGAATCTGAATAGAAATTAATTGTGTGTTAATTTTATTTCAAAAGACGTCAATTTCATAGGAAATCGCTCGCCTTACTTTTAAGTTGATATTCTTCTATTCCGATGTTCATTTTGATCGAGGTACACAAACAGAAGGGTACATGCATGCATGGATGTTTTATTCTAAACAAGCAGAGTAGATTTCAACGCTGAGAATATGGAATTAATTTTCCTTTTCAAATTTTGAAATTAATAATATCCAAAACACATACCCGTTCCTGCAGCAATTACAGTTGTCAATATATGAAGAAGTCGCTTCTGAGACAATGACGTCACAAGCAGACATACGAACACTCCTATGGTGATCAGCAGAAACCCAACCAGACCAATCGCTGCTAAGACTCTTGTCAACTGGAACCAATCTGTTACGAGAGAGGGAACTGCATAATATGGCGACGCTTACGCAAAAACATACTATATTAGAACACTAGTGTTCATATTGTTTCAGCTTATTTTCTTAGCTTACATTTATTGCAAATCTCTTTATTATATAATGCTTTGGAAAAGGGACAAATCCATTTTATTTTATCGAATACTTTCATTTCAAGACAAAATAAAATGTATATTTTGATAAAACAAATGAACATGATATTATTGAGAAGATGTCGATCTCAATTTTTCAGTTGGGCATTTAGATGGAAGAGACTTATAAAAGACTGTATTTGGATTGTAACCATGGCCTTCTAATACTTTTACCCATGGACAATCTTTGAGTGATGTATGAGCCAGCTTTGTCCGAAGGACATTAAAGTATGTGCATGATAAGGAATTCACACAGAGATCAACTTTGTTCCTAACTTCAGACCTAGAAATTATGTTCAAGGTCATTGCACATCCTTAACCCACGAGCATTCTACAGCCAAATACATGTAGAACAAAGGGAAGGAAAAAAATTTGCTACGAACATGAATTTAAAAAGATTTTTAACTCTGATCTTTGGTCAAGAAAGTTGGTTCAATTTAACAGCACTTTGTCTACCAACAGACACTGAGAGCGAGGCGTGCGTGTAACTAGGCCACAGGGAAAGAATGTATGCCCCGGACAAGGATTGCACACAGAGATCGGATTTGATCATGACCTTTGAGCTAGAAAATTGGTTCAGGGTCAATGACCACATTTTATCCACAGAAGCCAGAGGGAGGAAAAATATACATGTGCTCTGAAAAAAGATTCTAGGCAGAGATGTTTACCTTGACTTTTTATTAAGGAAAGTAGATCAAGGTCACGCACTCCCTCTATTGACAAGCACTCAATGTGTTAAGTATAAACCAAATAAGGCCAGGGAAAAGTAAAATATGCTCATTACAAAGATTTCACACAAAGATCTGTTTTGACCTTGACTTCTAACCTAGAAACTTCAAGCTCAAGGTAATTGCACGCGCTCTACTAACAAGCACTCAATGGTTAAGATTTAAGCCAGCATCGAGCCAAGGGAAAAGAAAATATACTCGAAAAAGAATTTCACATATGCATTAACCTTGATCTCTAATGTAGAAACTTGGAAAAAGGTTACTGCAAACTGGTTGTTTGAGCAGAATAGAGGCAAAGGGAGGGAAAATATGCTCGCTCTGGACAAGGATGTTACAAATATTTGCATTGTCTTTGACCTTTTTTCTAGAAAATTGGCCCAAAGTCACTGCACTTCCTTTATCCACAAACATTCTATGGGTGAAGATTGAACAAGGGGTCAATAGGATATCAAATATGCTCCCGACAAAGAATTTTACACGGTAGTGTTTTTGTAGAGTAGGCTTTCCCTTCTAATTTTTTCTAAATATATATACATATGTTTAAAAAAAAATCAATGAAATTCAGTGTTTTCCTCGCAGTCCGCTTAATATTGCGTCGTTAATTGACCTGTGTAAAATGTAAATGTGTACTGGACAAGCATGTTTTGTCATCCATTCATCAGATGAGGACGTTTGGTCTACGTAAGCACCTCTGTGAATAATAAAAACAATAGACAGTTAAGGTCGATTTCTGGGACAGGTATATATCACGTTTTTGTACGTCTTTATTCATAAAATAACAAAGGTTTACAAACCAGGACGAATTTTGTTGTTATGGGGTCTAGAAAATCAACAATATATGCGGTATTTTCTATAAGTATGCACGATCCGAACTATTTTTCATACTATTTGTCAGGAGTTTTTTAACTCCTTTTTGAAATTTATCATAATGTCTGTAAATTTATTATAATTCATCGAGGAAAAGGAGTCGCTGACAATGGAACAAAGGGATTCAAAAGAAACCTCAACTGACTTTACCGAGCTATTTTTCCCTCTCTTAAAATTGGTAAATTCAAAATCCCTATAAGTATGGTTCTGCAAAGTTTTGAGATACATTGGATATTATAAAATTACAAACTGGTCACATAATTGCTTTAGTTCCCACTGAAAAACTTTATAGTCTTTTCGAGGAAGGATTTTTCACTTATTTTAGGAAGGACTTCCTATACTACTGATATCAATTTTTCATTTTCGTTTGAAAAATCTAGCATGAATTTTATGTTATCTAGAGCATACAGTGTTTATTTTGTAAATCCTTGTACTGTTGATATATTTATTGTTCCAATACCTTTTGATTTTTTTCCAATTTTTTTTTTTTAAAAATGAATTTCATGATCTAGTATACATACATGTATATTCATATGGTGTAATACTAGAATCGTGTGTTTACATCTTCTCGGACAGTTACTTACAACATTAACGGATAGACCCAGGACTTTATAGGGAGAGTTCATTAGAATTCACTGCTGTTTGGTTGTGTCCGATATTTCTGAAGATGCTTGTTGGGGATTTCATTCGATGACATGTACAATAACTATATTTCTCGTAAGAAGTAGTACACATAATAGTTAATTACAAAGCCATCTGATAGATAGTTACAAAGTTCTCTGACACAGAAAAGTCAAAAAAGTCAGAAAAAGTTATTTTCAGAACCATTTTAAGTTCACTTGAAACGAAAACTGCATCATAAATTCACTTGTCTATTTACCCTGTTTACTGAATTATTTAGTTCAGTATACTTGTATATGTATAAAGTAATGAAACACGTACAGAAGCTTATATTCTATGACAACGTAGAAATTTTGACTTTTCTCAATAGATTTTGTTCAGTTTCTTTTCTCCAGCTTCACCAACTACAACCTTTATCCTTTACATTGTGACATCTTGGTGTACACGATATCTGCTAGGCCAATATTAGACGTCTCAGATTTGTTTCTGTACCATTTGGTTCCTTCTGCATCTTCTTATGAGTTATAATTTAATTTCTTACCTGGCACTGAATCCAATTCTTCGGTCTTACAGAATTTCAAAAAGCAGACTGACTTTTCCCATAATCCTGCGTTTGCTTTAATTTCGTTTCCTAAGAATTGTCGCTTTCAGTAATGTACACTATAGTCTGCAAAGGAGCCAGCACCATGCAGATCTTCAGAAAGATTGTCGACGAAGAAAAAGTCTCTGCGACAAACATTTTTGCTACAATAAACTGGCAACTATCTTTTTTGTGTTCTTTCGTAAATTCTCCGAGGTAGGCGATTCATCGCATCTTTTTATGATGGTTCCCTGACAGGCCACGTGATGAGACACGGTATATATATATATCAATCCATCCAATAAAAAAAATAGTGAATAAAAGAGAGATTGTAAAATAGCTCGGCCAAAAAGGAATTTATTTTTTATATCTTTTTTATCGTTATATATTATTTGGTGTTAGATTTATGCACTTACATGCTGTGGTTTCAACACTCCTCAGCAATGTTCCAATTTTTTCCATATTAATTATGCATTTATCAATTGAAATTATGATACATTATGATAATTCTTTACAATGCATATATTGATGCAGCAACATTAGAAATCTTTTCAATATTGTGTTCATATCTTCAGTATAATGAAATATGGAGGTAACGAACAGTAATCAAACTCAAAAGTCCATTGCAACAATACAAATTTGGAGCAGAGCAAAGACAGACCTCTTAAAACAGCAGAGGTGGGATCAGGTTCCATGGAGGAGTATGCGTCCCCCGTTGACCGGTCACACCTGTCGTGTGCTCCTTGTCACGATCGGGGAGACAGAAAATTTAGTGTAAATAATGGCCAAACAATTAGTATGAAAAACGTCAGTCAGCATTTGACTTAATGATAGATTGTATTTGCTAACAAGGTGATTGTGTCGACCATAGAACTGGCGAAATATTGACAATTCTGAAAATTATGTAATTTTCAAACAGAAACTGTAAATGAAGTGGTTAGAGATTAGAATTTAAATTTTAAAAATGAATAAAAAAAATAATGATGATGGGAGGGGGTAAAGATAAAGACAATCCTGTCGAATAGAATCTGTGACATTTGTATGCTGAATCCCATGCCCGACATAAAGGTGTTGACGTCCTGATAGTCAAGGTAACTAGGCAATAAGGTTACGTTGCAAAATTATGACCTTCGATCGAAGTACATTAAAAAAACAACGAAAAAAAAACTATAACTTGGATAACTAGATTATTCCTCTTTTATTAAAAGATTTATAACATGTTTTGAATATTAACATATTAGATATACTTTTCAAAATCTTGCGTTTTGAAATTTGCATTCTTTAAAAAAAATACAAGATATAACATTTAGAAGCAATACTTTTAACGTTTCAAGATATAAATTTTAATGATATTTTAACGAGATTAAGAATGTACATCTTTTGAAAACAAAATGATTCGAAATACAACATTAATGAGACAGTGCAGGTTCGGAGTAATAAGTTGAAATTTTTCAAGACAAACAGAAAACTAGCAATTAGCAAGTGGAGTAAAGCCAAAATCATAACAATGCAAGCAACAAGAGATACAAAGAAGTCAAAGGGCTAGGAACTGGTTACAAGTACACAATATCTTTGCACAGGGTCTTAAAAAAGATACATGCAATTTAGAGAGGCTGCATTACATGTCTATATTATCTACAAGTCAGACAAAAGACGTGGGGTCTATTAACAGACCGATTGTTTTTAGCTATTTATAGACTGACAAGGTTGTCCTGGTCATTGGTCGAAGTTATCGTTATTTGTGTTTATGGGTACTGATAAACAGTACAGTACAGTACCGATTCCGATTATGTCTAGATCTTTGGTTTTTTTACTGAGTTTATTATGAGTAAGATGGTTGTAATGACGTCAAGGATTAGGGCAGCCACACAGAGGCCATAGGCCCACCCAGGGTCCATGGTTTCCTTGCCGGAATCAAGTAATTTTCCAGCCCAATTGGTTGCAGCAGATCCCCTACGAGAAAGACCGAGGTCCGTATTTCTTGTGGAGGAACCAAGATTCATATTTTGAGAAGAAAAGCTTCTAGGGTTATTGTAATGAGAACCATATAATGCTATGGCCACCAACACTGCCACACCTGAAAAATAATGTTTATGTTAGAGCGAGAAATTGACAAAGGATTAAAATTCTAATACTTTAAATTATTTAAGTATAATGTTTAAAGAAATTCAGACTATACAAAAATTAAGAACTGCATGTACTTCTGTGGTGTCATAGCGCATTGATAAAGTTTTCCGTCCAATTTTTTTTATGATACCTCGATCAACTTGATAAAAAATTACAAGATTTGTTTTTAAATAAAACTGTGCTCCCTAATTTTATGTTGATAGTCGTCTATTCCGTGTACATTTTGAACGGAGTGAACATAAAGAGGCACATGCACACTGTGTATTTTTCTTAATACTTAGTTTGCAAAGTAGATTTCAGTTGGTGCATGGTTTATGGAATTTAGCAATTTATTTATTTATTTTTTAAAATCTTAATTGAAATTACTAATATCTATAATTCATACCAGTTCCTGCAGCAATTACAGTTGTCAAAATGTGAAGTATTCGCCTCTGAGACAATGGCGTCACAAGCAGACAGACGAACACCCCTACGGTGATCAACAGAAACCCAATCACACCAATCGCTGCAAAGAACCTTGTCACGTGGAGCCAGTCTGTTAATAGAGAGATTATTGCATAGAGTGGATGACAATGTTACCCGATTGTACATGTATACTACTATTATATATAATTATATAAACGTAGATTACCTTTGCTTACATTAATTGTAATTTCATATCTCTTTATGCAATGATACAAAAAAGTTGACATATTCCGATATGCACATGTTGAATAAAGTTGAAGACAGAAATACTAGTAAATAAAAACATAAATATATTGTTTATACAAAAATATTCATACATGCATTCATATGCACTGCTAATGATGCCAGACTTATAAAGGGGGAGTTTCGATAAGACCGCTTAGCGGCCCACTTTTTTTCATAAAAATAAATTTCAATTTATTTTTTCAAAACTAGTTTAGAATTCAAGATAAATATGTTAACTTTTGTTATTTATATTTCAAAAGTTAATATGAGATGAATTCACACCGTAGCTGATACATACTTAGATGTACCCTCAAATCCGTTAACATTAGGCTTATGGGAAAATATAAGAGGGTGGCATTTAGAAATCAATGTTTAGAATATGAAGTGCATGAGGGACACTCACCTAAATTTGTTCAGTAATTAAATATACAGTGCACACTAATTTCTTGAAATATGATGAGTGTCGCGTGTGCACTTCATATCTAAAAATTGAAAATTGCATAAAATTTGCATATCTAAAATTAGAAGCTCCTGGTTTCTTGATCTGACTCTGTGTTAAAATACTAAGCCAAAAGTAGCATATTGTTTTAAATCAAAGAAGACTATCGATCATATTAACAGTAGAAAACATTATCGTATCCTATCTTCATTTCGATACTTTTTTGTCGCCAACGTATAACGTTAACGTCACATTTTAGCTCACCTCCTCGAAGCTGGGGGAGCTTTTGTAATACCGTAGGCACTGGTGTTCCAGGAAAAAAGTTTTTGAAGCAGATTTTTTTTTTCAAGTATACCTATGCCCTATATTAATAAAAGTCACCTGATCTAGCATGTTTACTTGCCATCAGTCAGGTTTCAGATGCTGGATTTTTAGCCAAAGAATGTCCAGGTAAATGTTTTAAGAGAAGGTTTAAGTTTTTGGAGCAGAGCAGCTGTAAGCACTTGTTGACCAGACTTGATTCATAATACATCCACGGATGCACACTACTAGAATGCTTCAGATGCTGGATATGACCCACATTTCCTTAATGAGTGAGCAGATTAAAGATTTTGAAGCGGGTCTCATTCTTATGTAACTATAAGCCTTATCGTGACCAAACTTACACTGATGTTGCATATAGGATTGCACACTACCAGGCATGGTTCAGATGCTGGATCTTTCTTACATTTTCCGACTGACTGAACAAAAAATGTTTTAGAGCAAGTCCATTCCTTAACGTTTTTTATCATGCATAGTTACAAAAAGTCAAAATATAAATATTTTTGACTTTCTTGTATAGAAATCCACGCTCCAACATGCTAGAGAAGCGCCCATATATTTCCGTGTGGTTGACATAGGGAACGTGGATTGTTTTAAGTCTGGATGTCTAGGCGCATATTATGTTTGCCTGATTAAGGATTAAACACACATCTTTGGCGTTTACACATATATTTCGAACTGCACTCTGGTCTAGCAAATCATATATAATGAATTCTAAAACTCTCTAAATGAGAAGTGACTAGAGTTGGTGAAGCAACTTAAGCATCTGTGGAGAGTTGGGAAGTGAGATGAACTTAGTCCTGGCTGGGATTCTCTCAGTTATGCTAAAAACATAATGCAGATCTATGTGGGCAAATATACTTCTAAGTTTCATAATGAAAAGGAAACACTCAATGTATTATAGATTTTTCCATCATTTGGCTATTCACATATTATGTATCATGATAAAATATTTTTGAGTGTAATTAATATTATTCATATTATCAAATTCATTGCAATATACTGAAGCCGGTAGGTGCTAAGTTAAAAAAAAATATTTTATCTGGCGGCTACCAGATAAGTTTCTAGCGCCTGCCATTGAAATATCTGGCGGCCTCCAGATAAAGTTGTAGTGTTTTTGCCAATCAAGTTGTAGCACCCAATGATGTACATGTACGTTAATGCACTTGACTGACAGAGGTACACAGATTAGGTATTTTTGAAGGCGGTGCTTATAATCTCTGCCTTTAAGGACATCTACAACTTCTGTTTGTAGTCAAATCTGGGAGTTCCATGCCTTATTAGCAAAGATCTAATCTACACTTTATACAAAAATTCACTTCATATGGTCTTCACCTCATAACTTTAAATTTATGTTTTATTAGATTACATGTCTACACCGCAAGAAACTTATTTTTCGGCTTCTAGTTATTTATGTGGCGGCCGCCAGATAAGTTTCTGGTCGCCGCCAGTTATTTATGTGGTGACCACAGGAAAACTATTTGGCAGCCGCCAGATATATTTTTCTAGCGGCCGCCGAATAATTATGTGGCGGCCGGCAGATAAAATATTTTTCTTACCTTGCATCTACAATGTACTGGCTTACGTAGCAATATGATGCTTTTAAATAATTTTTTTTATTTATGTATGTATATAAAGTTGCATTTATTTTTTAGTCATTTTTATTTCAAAACATTTTATTTAGTTTCAATTTTATGATATTAAGGTATATTTTTATAAAACATGTAGTTGTATAACCTCATTGATGAAAATATATTGCATATATACCTGTATATGACGTTTTTACGTTTACCTATCTCATGTCTACATATCTTTTCATTTGCATTTTTCGTATGGGAAAATGATAAACATTGATTATAATGTTTATGTATAAACTGTTGATTAATTATGATGTTAAACTTTCTATATATGTTCACGTTTAATAAGTTCAATTCATCCTCTTTTAAAGAAAAGTAACATTTAACACACCAGAAAAATATCGCACTTTAATAAAACGTTCGCATAAGATAAATACCATTTTCCGTAAAAAAAATTGCTGAAATTGGTTAATTTATGTCTTTATTCATATCTATCCTATTTCATTTCCGATTCTGACGGTTAAAAAAATCCACTTTCCCCTATCAAAATGTCTACTCCAAAAATATACGAAAGGGGGTATACTTAAATATTCAATTATCAAGTGACCGGAAAATGCGTAACATAAATTATTTTCATATTTTTAGGAAGATAAGGAGTTTTTCTACAAAATATCAAAATTTCATAAAATTTCGTGAGGGGTCGAAAAACTGTCTTATCGAAACTCCCCCTTTAGAAAGCCTGCATTATATTAAAGAGAGGATCTTTTTTATTTTTAAATAAACATCAATGCTTCAACAAATATCATACAACAAAAAGTTTTCCTTAAAATTACGATTGAAAAAAAAAAAAACAGGCCTGACAATTAATACATGAAAAGCGTCAGTCAGCATTCGACTATATGATAGATTGTATTTGCTGACAAGGTCATTGTATCGACCTTAGAATTTGCAAATAGTTTGTCTATTAGGTTTTTACAAGTTAAGAAGCATTTTATACAATGCATTTTTAAAATACATGTAATATTAATATTTATTCATCAACTTATTCACACCTGGGGGACCTAAATCGTATTAAGAAACACAATTTCGATAACGAGTCCATTGCTCATTATACATGTAAGAGGAATTATCAAGACGTTCAGTGCTGCAATTAAAGTTTTTTTAATTAATGGTTACTCGTATTACAGGTGTGGGTTCCAACCCTAAGACTCTATAAAACAAGGACCTCCCAATTCTACTTTTGTCTTCAATCACCATAATTCCATAACTCAGTTCCATTTTTGGTCAAGTTCATAGAAAACTAATTAAATTATTCCAAATAAAAAATAGTAGGAATTACACGCTGAATAATCAGATTTATCCCTAAAAGATAAATACAGTTATTGAGAATGACGCTTATTGCTTTCTATTTTGAAATTACGTATTGCTTACAAAGAGCAACCCGTTTTCCGGAATTATATGGTCCTATCATGACGATTCTATGGTTAATAATACATCAGCATTAATGAGCATGCGCTAGGTCTTTTCAACTCCCCATCTTGTTCAGAGCAGACGAAATCTAATATACTATATATTATGGCTAATATACCATTGACAACACAGGAAAAAATTTGGAATAATGAGTATATAGATCTTGCTAGGTTATTGCATTTAGATCCAGCTGCTGAAATTCAGCAACTGCTTGTGTTTGAAGATGGAGAAATTAAAATAAAAAATAAATCTAAGGATAGAAAAATTGCAAACATTTCGGAATGGACTGATTCCTTTTTGATTTATGCTGCCATCTACTTAAAAAAGTTTCCACAGCACATTCAGGGCATAATAAAGTATATCAGTTCAATAAGGCTAGGGGCTTCTCGGTCTACTACACTAGGGTGGAGGGATTATGACATTCAGTTTAGACTTAGGCGCTCAAAAAATAGTATGATCAGTTGGGAAAACATTGATGCAGAATTATGGTTGATTTACATGGGTCAGGCAGCAGTCGCTGAACGCAAGCCTACTTCTAATTTGCACCAGCACAAGCGTTGTTATGATTTCAACTTGAAGGGTTCATGTCTTAAAAAAGATTGTAGATTTTCACACTCTTGTCTTAAGTGCGGCAAAAACCATCCCTCCATCAACTGTTACAGTAATCAAACCAGCCATAGTACATCAAAAGGGGCTACTCACAATGTCGGTCGTCAAAACATCAATCCCAATGTGACCCAATCAAGATTTTCAAGGCCATTTCGGCAATAAAGATCCATGCCTTTGGGATCTAGGTTTTACACCAATCAATGTTACCACTTTAAACATTTTGTTACAAGATTATCCAGAAAAAACTGAGGCAAATCAACTTTTACATGGGTTTACATTTGGTTTCTCATTGAACTATGAGGGTCCGCGGGATCCAGTATCTTGTAAAAATATGGTTTCAGCATTAGAGCATAAAGATGAATTGTTAGCTAAACTGAACAAAGAAATTGACCTAGGTCGCATAATGGGTCCATTTGATGCCCCCCCATT